TAGTGTTCTTTAAGGCCGTTCACACTCAGCTGTTTTTCTTCGATGATCTTTTTTTTACCAAGCCATATTTGTATATGTTCCAAGAGTCAGTGATCTGAAACCTAAAATCCTCTCCACTCTTTCTACGTGCTTCGGCATGGAGGTCAACTGGTGGCATAAGGTCAAGTTGTGCCTCCTCCTTTTCGGAGTGGGAAGTAGGCTCAGATGAACTTTCGGATATACCAGGCCTTTTACATTGAGATTGGTTTGATTGTGGGCTTATAGCTGCCGTCTGTCTCTTTCCTCACGTGGTGGATGCTCTCGATGCTAGGGCTTTCTTTGGTTCCATTCCTGCCAATTAAAATGAAGTAAGTACATGGTAAAGCATTTGTAACATATGGGAAAGAAGCGAAAGGCAAAAATATTCTGCGGAGCACTTATGCGATCGCATAATAGATATGCGGACTGCGAAGTGCACTGCAGAATTTATCATGTTAAGACTAACAAATTATGCGGACCGCAGAAGTGGTTGCAAAATTAATCTGCGACCGTAGATCAGACGCATTTTGAACTTGAAACTTTGGCTTTCACCTATTGGTTTCTGCGACCAAAATGCAGTCCGCAGAACAAGTCTGCAGCCGCAGACTCAACCGAATAATGACCTTCTATAAGCCCACAAACACACAAGTATGTGATGATTTTGCGGGCCACAAACCAGTTATGCGGACTGCAGAGATCATCTTCTCCACATACAAATCACCCACATACAACATTGTGCAACTCATGTTATGATATCCTACACAGCTAATGCACAATTTTCACGAAACACTACACATACTCAACATCAGATCGATTTCATGTTCAACCTAACAATACCCAATGTGCATTGTCAACAATCACAACACCCATACGCAGAATTTAGAAACCCTAACTCTAACCCCTTGATTTTGATTGTATCACATCAATTCTTCCTCCCAAGTTACACTCCCAGTACAAGAGATAAAGAATCAAGATAGAGAGAGGAGGGTATCATGGATAAAAGGGAAGAAACATGCGAATACCTTAGATAAAAAATCAAACCAAGGAAGGGGGGGAGGAATTTATACCAGAATCAGTGTTGAGAGTAAGCGTTCACTTGCAAGTCCAGCTTTTTTCGAGCAAGGTAAGATGGATCATTCAAACCTTTCTCCTGTTTTCTGTATTTTTCTTGTTTTCTTTTGTTTCTCTTTTTATTTTTTTGGTGCGTGAAATTAGAGTAGGGAGACAGACACGAGAGAGAGAGAAGGAGATGAGGTTTTATACCCGAGGGATGTGCGGTGCAATTCCCGTCACAAAACAGCTTTTGTGGTCGTAGAAGTGTTTTGCGATGGTTTAGTACCTGGGTGGTTTACCACAGATGTGCAACCCACTTTGCAGTAGTAGAACTATTTTGCAGGCCGCAAAAGTTGACTTTTCTCCGCATTTTTAAGGGCCAATTTTCTTGATGCTCTATTTATGTATGCAACTAGTTTGCTGTCCGCGAATCCATTAAGCGGCCGCATATGTGGTCACAGAATAACAACTGAAGCTCAGTTCACTTTCTTTCATTTTCCATCTGCTTCTACATCCCATTTCTTTGCATTTTGAGTAACCTGCACTCTAAAACACGCACGTCAAACTATTCAACAATTACAAATAAACCTACAAAGAAACAAAATCTAACAAAAAACATTTCCAACACTAGTGTTGCCTCCCAAGAAGCGCTTGATTTAACATCGCGGCACGACTATGATGCCCCATTTTGGCTAATCAGTGGTGGAGGTTGGTACAGGGCCATCTTTGAGTTTGAATTGTTCTACTAGTTGTCGTTCTCCAATGGTTTCGAGCTAATTCTTTACCCTTTGGCCATTTACTTTGAATGTACGAGTCCCATCCTCGGATTCTAATTCAATAGCGCCATAGGAAGACACACTAATAGCTTTGAATGGGCCAGACCATTTGGATTTGAGTTTTCCTAGAAAGAACTTCAACCTTGAGTTGAAGAGTAAGACCATGTCACCAGATTCGAATTCCCGCTTTAAGATCTTGTTGTCATGAATAAACTTCATTCTTTCTTTACACATGGCTGCATTTTCATAGGCATGGAAACAGAACTCTTCCATCTCGTTGATTTGTGTCATCCTTAGATTAGTAGCTTCGGCCCAATCAATATTTAACCTTTTTAATGCCCACATGGATTTGTGTTCAAACTCCACTAAAAAGTGACCAGCCTTACCAAAAACCAACCGGTAAAGTGAGGCGCCAATGAGTGTCTTAAATGTCGTTCGATAAGCCCACAACGCATCATCCGGCTTTCTTGATCAGTCGGTCCTATTTGCATTAACAATTTTTGCTAGAATATTTTTTGATCTCTCGGTTGGAGACTTCAACTTGACCGCTTGATTAAGGATGATAAGGGGTGGCCACCTTGTGCTTAACTCCATATTTCTCGAGCAACCCGGCAAAAGCTTTGTTGCAAAAGTGAGAACCACCATCACTAAGGATGGACCTTGGGGTCCCAAACCGAGTAAACGTGTTCTTCTTCAAGAAGGCGGTTACACTCCTCGCCTCTTTGTTTGGCAAGGCAACTGGTTCGACCCATTTTGATACATAATCTACTGCTACCAAGATATATGTCATGCCGTAAGAGCTTATGAAGGGACCCATAAAATCTATCCCCAACACATCAAAGATCTCTACCTCCATCAAAATATTCATAGGCATTCATGCCTTCTAGAAATTGACCCTTGTCTTTGACATTGATCACATGTCTTGATCATCAAGGTATTGATCACAAGTCTCTATCAGGATTGCATCTTGGTAGATCGATGGCCAATAATATCCACATTCGAGCTCTTTTGCCTATGTACTGTTTCCACCATGGTGACCCTCAACTGGAGAGTCATGACATGCTTTGAGAATTTGAGTCACCTCATCTTCCGGAACAAAATATCGAATGATGTTATCGGCGCAAATCTGGAATATAAAGGGTTCCTCCCAATAGTATTGTGACATTCCCGCAAGAACTTTTTCTTTTGATAAGCTTCCAATTCATCGGGGATAAGGTCACTAACCAAGAAGTTAAGGATGTCGGCATACCAAGGAGTTGAGGTGCTAGATATTGCCAACATGTGTTCATCTGGGATGGCACCATTAATTTCAAGATCTTTTTTTGGTCTCCCTGCCTCTTCAAGCCTAGATAAGTGATCCGCAACTTGATTTTTTGTTCCTTTCCGATCTTTGACTTCAAAGTCAAACTCTTGTAACAAAAGGACCCACCCGATCAATCTCGGTTTAGCATCCTTCTTCGTCATTAGGTAGCAGAGAGAAGCATGATCAGTGTAGACTATCACCTTGGATCCCAACAAATAGGCCCGAAATTTTTCAAAAGCATAGACAATGGCAAGCAGTTCTTGCTTAGTTACGGTGTAACTCATTTGTGCGCCATTAAGTGTCTTGCTTGCATAGTAGACAGGATGAAGAATCTTTTTGTGTCATTGACCAAGTGCTGCCCCAATAGCCACACCACTGGCATCACACATAAGTTCAAATGGAAGAGACCAATCGGGGTGACAATAACGGTGTTGTGGTGAGCCTTGCTTTCAATTCCTCAAAAGCCTTGAGGCACTTCTCATAAAATACAAATTTAGCGTCCTTTTTAAGGAGCTTGCACATGAGGCTTGCAATCTTTGAGATGTCTTTGATAAATCGCCGATAGAAACCGGCATCCCCCAAAAAGCTCTGAACACCTTTGATCGAAGTGGGCGGAGGAAGCTTGGAAATTACTTCAATTTTTGCTCGATCAACCTCAATGCCTTGCTTGGAGATTTTGTGGCCAATAAAAATACCCTCGTCCACCATAAAGTGATATTTTTCCCAATTGAGCACAAGGTTTGTCTCCTCACATATTTTAAGCACTTGCCTAAGATTGTCAAGGCAATTCTCAAAGGAATCACCAACTACAGGAAGTCATCCATGAATACTTCTAATAAATCCTCCACCATGTCCAAGAAAATTGAAATCATGCACCGTAGAAATGTAGTCGGGGCATTGCATAGCCCAAATGGCATTCGGCTAAAGCAAAGGTCCCATATGGACATGTGAATATCGTCTTCTCTTGGTCCTCCAAGGCTATGTTAATTTGGTTGTAGCCGGAGTAACCATCCAAGAAGAAATAAAACAACCTCCCTTCTAGCCAATCAACCATTTGATTAATAAAAGGCATAGGGGAATGGTCTTTGCAAGTAGCATTATTGAGCTTCTGGCAGTCTATGCAAACTCTCTACTCAGTCACCGTCCTTGTTGGAATGAGTTCATTTTTGTTATTTTGAATCACGGTCATGCCTCCCTTCTTTGGCACACATTGCACCGGACTCACCCAAGGACTATCGGCAATAGGGTAGACAACCCTATCATCCAACCATTTTATAATTTCTTTCTTCACCACTTCTTGCATAGAGGGATTTAACCTCCTTTGATGCTTCACACTAGGTTTGCTATCTTTCTCTAGTTGGATTTTGTGCTCATAAATGCCGGTGAGAATCCCTCGGTTATCTGCTATAGTCCAACCAATGGAATGTCTATGATCCCTCAAGGTCTCCAATAATTATTCAACATGCACATCATTTAACAAAGAAGAAACAATTACGGCTAGAGTTTCATTAGACCCAAGAAATTTTCACCTTAAGTGCGACAGAAATGGCTTGAGCTCAAGTTGTGGCGGATCGACGATTGAAGGCTTAGCGGGAGGAGTGACTCTATTATCTAAGTCAAGAGAAAGCATCTTTTGGTGCATTAGTGTAGGAACCAAGCCTTTCCAATGCATTCACTGTTTTCACATATCCTTCCATGTCCTTACCATCAAAACCCATCAAAATCGCCTCTAATGCCTCATCAAGTCATTCCTCTTCCATTTTTACCTCGACGGCATCCTCTACCATATCAACAACATCAATGACCGAGATACTCTTGTATGCATTTGGCAATTTCATACCCTTACTTGCTTAAAAGGTAACTTCTTCGTCATTAACCCTGAATTTAATCTCATTTCGTTTCGAGTCCTTGAGTGCTCTCCCGATGGCAAAGAATGGTCTCTCCAAGATGATAGGGATCCCTTTATCAATAACACAATCAAGAATAACAAAGTTGGCGGGGAGGAGAAACTTTCCCACTTTCACAAGCACATTATCCATTATCCCCAGCTTTATTGAATGGTCGGCCGTTTGCAACCTCATACTTGTAGGCCTAGGCATTCCCAATCCTGTTTGCTTGTAGATAGCAAGAGGCATTAAGTTGATTCTAGCCCCATTATCACAAAGAGATCGTGCAAAGTCTCGCAATCCAATAGTGCATGGAATGGTGAAAGCCCCCGGGTCCTCTTTCTTTTGGACGACGGTTGTTGCAATGATGGAGCTAACCCGGTGGGTAACACTCACCACTTCATTCTTGGTGGTTTTCTTTTTAGTGATCAAGTCCTTCAAGTACTTAGCAAAACCCAGCATCTCTTGAAATGCTTCCACAGATGGAATGTTCACCGATAATTGCTTTAGGATGTTATAGAACTTCTCGAGATTGCTATCATCAACCTTTCTAGCTAGTCTTTGAGGAAAAGGAGGGGGAGGTCTAGGAATTGGTGCCTCTATTACCTTTTCCTCAACCTCTTCATATCTCACTTCTTGAGCTTTCACCTTCTTCGGGAGTCTTTCAACTTCAACAACATTTGGCACCTCAACTTCCGCCTCATCTTCTTGTTCAAAATCTTCCACTTCGACCACTCGTTCATTATCACTTTGAAGTAGTTTCCCACTTCGAGTTTAATGGACATACAATGAGAGATTGGGCCACTACTACTACCTTTTGGCTTTGCAATTGCATCACTTGGGAGCGTGCCTTTTTTCTTCGGGTTTTATTCTCTTGAGAAATCCCTCATTTGTATCTCCAACTTTCGAATAGATGTGGTGTGAGAACCCACAAGCTCGGTAATATATTTCATTGAAGTGTCAGACCTCTCTTGATTTTGAAATATTCTTTCAAGCATGTTTTTCAACTTGGAATCACTAGAAGAACTCTCCTTCCAATGTGGAGAATTAGAATGTTGCCCCTTTGGTGGAACATAGGGGTTTGAACTCCGATTTGAAAAATTATTGTTGTTGTGACTCCAATTTCCTTGCTTTGAAATACCTCAGTCGTTTTGCCATTGTTAGTTATCTTGCCCTTGTGGGTTAGGTCTCTATTGGTGTTGTTGTCCCGAGCCTTGGTAGTGTTGTCTTTGATATCCTCCTTGTGAATTGTTAACATAATTTTCTTTTTCGTATTCCTCATTTGACATTGGTTGCACATCTTCCACAATATTCACTTTGTTTGTTTGGTTTTTAGTGAACATTTTTATCAACATATTGACATTGGTAGCAAGCCCGGCAATTACTTGATCTCTTTCTTAATTCTCCTTAATCATGTTGGTCAAATAAGGAGTACCATATGAGATTCCACCCGTGGTGTCTTCCCAATGCCAAGCTTGGTTATGTTCAACCATCTTGTTGAGGATTTGAGTGACCCTTGCAAATGTTTTATCCATGAATGATCTATCCGCCACATTCTTGGCTATGGATTGATTCATAGGATCCAAGACCATGTAAAACTTCTCCAACAAAATAGTGTCCGGAAACCCATGATTCGGTGGTCTCACCAAATATAGGTTGAATCTAGCCCATGCCTCATATAGGTGTTCTCCTGGTAATTGCTTGAAGAAGAAAATTTTATCCTGAAGCTCGGACTTCTTGCTTTGAGGGAACCATTTTGCTAGGAAATCTCGCACAAGTTCGTTCCAAGTGTGGATGGAGTTAGCAGGTAGATTTTGGATCCATTGTCTTGCCTCTCCGATTAAAGAGTATTTGAACACCATCAACCTTAGGGAATCATCCGAGACATGATTCTACTTATGTATTTTATACACACCCAAAAGGTTTCTCAGATGTTGTGTCGGATCATTGTCGGTGGAATTTCGGAAGAACCCCTCCACCTTTAGCATTAGGATTAGACTATGTTCCACTTTGAAGATAGTAGTGTCAACTCTTGGGGGGGGGACAATGTCATTTGTATCCTAAATATATCTATGTCCGCAAACATATTCTCTTCTTCTGTCTCATCCATGCTTACCTAATGACACCAAGCAAAGAAGTCAAAGTGTGATGGAATAGAAGAAGACGTAAAGTAAAGCACACACTAGTTTGTAATTTCAAAACCGTATTCCCCGACAACAGCGCAAAAATTTGATACACTCAAATTACACCTATATAAATGTTGTAAGGCGGTCGATGTCAAATATAATAACCCAACTAGGTTGGGGTCGAATTCCATAGGGAATAGGTGTGAAAAGGTTACCTGAGTAGTGTATAATTTGATTTAAGTCGTAATTCTACTCCATTAGTTAGAAAAGAGTTTTGTAATTGCGAATTGTTAAGAAAAGTTATTCTGTTAAGAGAATTGATTAATTTGGTTAAGAAACCAAGGTTGTGTCCCATCAATGGAATGTAATGCTATCGATGTTAATATGATATATTTCTAATGGAAGGTCCTTTGATATGCAAATGGTTTCTAAATAACTACCCAATATTTTCCAATAATTTGGTAGTATTTTCTATTTATGATTTTTTTCAAATATAAAAGAGCAACAATTAAGAACAACTAATTTATGCCAAGTAGAACCCACTTATTCCTAAGTGATTCTAGTAAACAACGTTTAAAGCCTTGATTCTTGCTATCCAATTCTACCAAACCCTAACCCACTTTTTCAAGTAAAGATAGAGTAAAATGGCACTAGTCAATGTTTGCAACCATCAACCATAAATGAAACATGAAAAATGAATAGAAATCAACCAACCATTATATATATATTCAATGGTAAACACCCATTAACATTACATCCACTTAGGGTCCAAACCCTTAGTATTTAAAGTTATCTACTCATACTACAATACAAGAACAAAGCAATAAATAAATTCATAAAAGCTTACAAAGAGGACAGTCTTGAAATCTCTCTCAAAAAGCTCCAAAATAATGATGTATTCAATGCTCTAAGTGTAGCTACTTTTTCAGAAAAGATGACCCACAAAACCCCTAGTGATTCTATTTATAATGGTCCAAAATTTGTGGACAAAATGTGACAAAATTGACCTTCTAGATTAAGACTGTGACCGCAGAATGGGTCGCAGAACACATCGCGGTCCACACATCTTCACCCACACCGCAGATCTGATCACAAAGTTTTCTAGTTCTACCTCGCATATTGATTATGCGGTCCACATACAGGTTTCGCGGCCGCATAGTGTACCGCAGAATCATCTTCACTAGAAGCCCTCTTTCATTTGTGCGACAACTTCGCGGTCCGCATAAGAGTTTTGCGACCACATAATAAAGCACAGATTTGACTCTCTAATACTGGATGGCCTGGTTAGCTCTACGATGGGTTTGGGGTCCGCACATCAGTTCTGCGATAGCAGACCTGTCGCATATCTGCCTTTTCATGGGTTTTTGTCATCTTTTTCATATTCTTGGTTCTTCAAGTCTGGTTTTCTACAAAACACCAAAACTACATAAGAAATGACTTATAATGCTTTAAAAGATGAGCTAAAGTCTATGTAATTAGTATCAAAAGTGCCACATTTCTACGGCACATCAGTCATCAAGTACATGAGCTCTATAGAATAAGTAAATACAAGGTTTGAACAAAATACTATATTGTCCGAAAGACTAAACAGTAATAACATGAAACAAGGAGAAGGACTTCAAGGCCTGCGAACAGAATAGCAGTGCTACCTCGGAATCTCCACGAAGATATAGATAACAACTCTCTAGCAATCACCGCTACCAGCAATACCTAGATCTGTATATGAATTGCAGAGTGTAGTATTAATACAACTGACCGCAGGTACTCAGTAAGTAGCAAGCGTAACCTCGGTCTGAAAGCTGAGACGAGGTTGGAAAATTTTGATACTCACTTTCAGCAGCCAACAACAATAATAATAACATAATAATAAGGAAAAGCAGCTCAAATACTATCAAATTCAACTCTTGCACAATAAGAGGAGAAATAAGCATGTTTTTCAAGTACATCAGTCAAGGCATCGACATTTTCTACAAAAATCACCTAGATATGGATTTATCAAAGTAAACTGTGATATCAAGATCTAATCATCAAATAGAGACATAAAATACTAATTAGCATGAGGAAAATACTACTTTATTCCTGCATGACAAGTATACATGCCAAAATTAACAACATCATCGTTTAATCATCAAGTATATAAAATCTCAGCACTGCATAGTGCGTGGCACAAATACCCCTAATCATACTCTCAGCACGCTCACGATGCATGGTGCAATGACCCTGAATGATCACACATACACATACACACAGAATACTATACGGGTGCCCGGCATAAGCCCCTCACTAAGCACATATCAAGTGCTTGCACTCATAGGCTTAATACCTGACTCCGAAGGGATGAATCCTAGACCAAGCGCTGATCGGATCAAAAGTCAACGATCAATATCACTCAGCCCCCTTTATGTAAACGTCACCTCACAATCAATATCAACACAGATCTAAGAACTAAGATCAGTCACCAATCCATTCAATATGGCTTTATGGCCCAAAATCAATCATCAATTTCCTCAAGTCTCAATATGCCAATACCTCACAGTACTATAATCATAATACCGCACGGAATGCACTAACGTACTACAACTTACCTCAAACTCATATCACACATACAAGGATACTATCAACACGTGAGATAACATCTAAAGAGTGTACATAGATAGAGATATAACACACGAATATAATATCACGGTTGAAAGGTATAACTACGGCTAAGGCAAATATCTTAACATAGCAAAATAGTTCTATCATGTCTCAAACAGATAAGTAGATAGCCTAGACATGATTTCTAGCATGAATAATATTTCATCTAGTCAAACAAGTGCCGATGGGGAGATACCCTCAAGCCAAGCTTATGCAAGGTACTCCCCTCAAATGTGCGAGAATTAATGCTCTAGAAATCCATTGCCTCGCAAATCGGCTTCCGAACGAGTCAAATCTAGTCAATACAACTCAATAACATCAAATAATGCCATAGAAATCAATTCCAAACAGTAAAGTTTCAGTCTTCACTCAATTACACAAAGGCAGACAAAAAGTCAACCCAACCCCACTTCTCGGAACCACACAAAACTCATAAATTCCGACTATCCATTCGAATACGTGTCCATATATACAAGTTTCATCAAAATTCGACTCCAAATCGAGGCTCAAATCTCAATTATTTACTTTCCAAAATCTAGCACAAAACCCCCAAATTTCACTTTCAAATCTAATAATCAATATGTAATAATCCATTGGTAAATAAGATATAATATCAAAATCAAGTAAAAAAATTACCCTCAAAGTGGTGATGAAAATCTTCCCAAAAATCACCTCTAGCCGAGCTCCAAAACTCAAAATAGTGAAAATAAACCAAACCCTCAAAATATAACGTCCTGCTAGTGATTGCCGCATCTACGGACAAAATGGTCGCTTCTGGGATGTCGCATCTACGGCAAAACCCTCGTAGATGTGCAAACAAACCAGCTGACCTCCCATTTTTGCGATGAAATTCTGTATCAACGGATGCACTTCTACGCATACACCTTCGCACAAGCGGCCTTGCACCTGCACCACTCTAGCGTAAATGCGATCCACCCGGGCCACTGCCAGCTTCCGCCTCTGTTCACAAAATCCCACACATGCGGCTCCGTAGGTGCATTATACCAGATCGCAGGTGTGATGCACCAGGTTCCTACCAAAAACTAGTAATGCCATAACTCACCAACATAGATCGAAATCAATTTGAAACACTCTCGAGCCCCACGAGACCCCGTCCAAACATACAAACAAGTCCAAAGACATTAAGCAAACTTATCCAAATTCTCAAAACATAACAAATAACATCATCAACAATAACAACAAAACAGTGTAATCCCATAAATAGGGTTTGGGGAGGGTAGTGTGTACGCAGACCTTACCCCTACCTTATAGAGATAGAGAGATTATTTCTGATAGACCCTCGGCTCAAGGAACATTGGAAATAAAGCAACCAAGTAGCAAACAATAGTAATAACAATGTAATATATTAACGAGCGCGAATGAGACAACATGTAA